TAACTGCTTTCTTATCTTTCCAACTGTCGAAATCTTCACTGGTTCGTGTCAGTGATCAGATAATACAGAGATGAACACGATTGTGGAAGCGATGAGAAACAAACGAGAACGAGGGGAAACGATACAGCTTTGCAATCGAGCGCATTGCTAGAAAATAAATCACGTTGTGAAAGCACACATGATGACGCACAAGCTTCAACCTCGACCCGACCATAACCAAAGCGAAATAGAAGAGGGAATTGTTTGTAAATCAAGTCAATTCACAAACATGAATCGCTAGAAATTTGAGCAATTACGAGGCCGGTGGGTACCTGCGGATCCGGCGGCACAGGGCCAGTGTTTCCCAGTTGTCTGCTTGCAATGATAACACGCCATTCAGTTCAGCTTCATACATTGGATGCTTCTCGAGGACCAATTCGGAGACACGCCGTGATACAGCTTTGTTTTGTTTGTCCAAAAATAGTAATCGTATCTTCAGTTTGGACAATTCTCGGCAGGACGGTCCGGCAAGACTCTGTGTGTAAGTAAAATCACACACAAGCAAAAGGAGGAGGGAGAGCGAATGGTTAGCGAAAGTATATCATGTGTGGAGATACATACACACAATGAAATCGATAAGACGACAGTCTGATGGAAACGAAACACTCGACCAGCAAAATATGCAGTGTGGCATTTGGAGCAGTATTTCATTGAGTACACTGAACAGGCGAATTCCAGACCGAAACTCAGCATTAAAGGTTTGATATTTCTTTTTAAATACTGAATTGCATTGAGATATCTATGCTGTGAATAGGTTCTCTTGGTGAACTTCACACTCAAAGATGTAAAAGAGGGCAAAAATCAGTTGTTGAGTGAGTCGCAACTTGTAAAGCATAAAGCTTTGCAGTTTTGAGATGGTTCTTTTGGTAATAATATTATTGCTTCATTTTGTTTAACATCGAATTGTACGAACAATTCTCAGGAAGGGGGTGAGTAGTAGTGGCTGTTTGGTCGCTGTCTGAGCACACAAAATGGGAAAGTCGGAGCGGTGATAGGATTGAAACCCTTGACCCTTAAGTCAGTGTAATTGTGACCTTAATAACTTGATCACTTAACATTTTGAGGTGAACTGTTGAAAGAGAACATCCCCACTGTTCGCTTGTGATATCCAGTTATCTAAGCCCTGCAATTTAGAGCAGCAAGCCATATTGGACCCCAATAGAATAGGTTTGCCTCCGCAAGCCTCCGTATGGTCAAGAGTGGGTACCTGGTGTTGTGACTGTTCACTTGCGCCCTGCGAAGTGCTCCTATATGACCAAGCGTCTGAGAGATGGCTTCTGCTGAGGAAGCGCCTTCTCGTAGTGGCGCTGTTTACCCACTAAAATGAGAATACGGGAAGTCAACAACCGGGTCCGTAAACCACTGGCAGTTGAATAAGGGGAGTTGGCAAACAAAAACTGATTCTAAAACAACCAAGAACCGTACCAACCGCACCTTCCTGGATGTGGCAAAGGTCACCGGCTCGATTGGGCATCAAAATATATTGGACACCCTGGACGTCTGNCCCCCCCCCCCCAAAAAAAAAGGTGTATGATCCGATGAACTGGACAACAGTCCCCCATGGATTGCGGTTTTCACACACCGCCCCGCTGCCTTGCGGGTCAGGTGTTGGTTAGTCGAAGGCTCCGGTTGTGATTTACCCAAGAAAATTAACTTGCCTTGGCCTGGGCAACCTGGCAGTATTCCGCCCACATGCAAATCATGGAACTACTTTCTGTTTGTAGGGATTATTGTAACGTGATTTGTTTGGCACACGGTTTGAGTTGTGTGAAATATAACGTATGATAACGTATGTTATCATTGTTCGCCTTGCCTCCATTTATTTTTAATCAGTTTACTACAGTTAGCTACTTGTAGAGGAGTGACCAAATTCGTGAATGATCACGCAGTTCCGTGGAAATTTCGTACGTGTCATCTCCAGGCAGCCCTAGCCTTGACTCGTGACCTATTCAACTCGTGTGGACTCAGCCCCGAGATTTCCTTTACGGTCGTTGAACCAGGTATCAGATCTCGAGCACCCATTCATTAAGGAGAGACTGCGTTCACATACCGTACTCCGTCCAAACGAGATTCGCCTGTTGTACGCCTGGTTTAGCCCGTGTCGAGCGCTTAGCTGCAGGGTGTGGTGGATAAGGTAGGCAACATGATTCTTGGGGTATAAGAGCAGAGAGACCAAGAAAGTGTAGGATGATCCAGAGACATGGTGTAGCGTGCCAGGTCATCGGTGCTACTCCTATAAACTATTTTTAACCTAGTGTGAGTTTACATGGGTTTGATAAAATGGCTATCGCATTGTGCAGTGAACTGTCGTCGCTACGATCGCTTTCTGGTCCAGACTGTTTTATTCTGTCATTCTGTGAATAACGTCAACTCAGTAAATCGCATTTCAGTTTGCCATCGTGCCCTACTGCGACTCGTGTTTTCCCGGATCACTAATTTGCGCCCCCTTCAGTTTACATGTGGTTCCACACAACCATCTCTGTAGTACCAAATCGGATGGATTCAAATATCCACGTTTAGCACTCGTGGTGGTAGGCAGCCTCGGTATCACCCAGCTCCAAGCCATATCTAACCTGGCGGGGCCTTATGGGCGTAACAAAAAAAGAACAAAACAAATCAATTTCGTATATCCCACATCGTGAATCCGCACATAATTAAGGTGTGATGAATAGATGAACATTATACCGATCAGATGTTGCGCAGTTGGCACCCTCTTCAAGTTCAACCGATTTCGCCAGCGAACACAGGTGTTTTGAAATCGAATGAGGCATCGAACTCTGCTCGTAGTTGATGCCGAACCGAAAGACCAAATACGGACAGATAAACAGATGGCACAGCACTCGAACGAGGAGCAAAAAATCTCCGGCTCATCTGACTGAAGAATGAGAAAAAACGACAGCGGACGGACAGAAGGCAGTACCGTTCACGTGATGCTACTCAATAGCATCCACATCGAGTGTGTGTGTGTGTGTGTGTGTGTGTGTGTGCAGAGAATCTTATCATTCTCCGAAGGATTACTGTTCA